GGAGGAGCTGGGACTAGCCCAAGTCTTGCTCTTCTTAGTGCCGTTCCTACCAAACTCCCAGTCTGCTGAATGCCTTTTGAGTGAGGACATCACACATCCTGCATCCTTCCAACATCACCCAGAGCCCCTCCCACTGTAGGTGTGTTGTTGATGGCCTCACCCTCCCAATCCTTAGATTTTGCTTTCTATTTTAATATTATTATTAGCTTGTTAGATTTGTATGGTATCTTATTTGTTTCCCCATAATTCTCTGCTTGGCAAAGAGACTTGACATGGTTGAGAGGTGGGTGATGTTCCATCTAAGGGGAAGAATTTTCTAAGAGGACAGAGAAGGAAAATAATGACTGAATATTTGTTAGCGTGTGTGCTAATTGCTCATAAATTTCCTTTCTGCCACCCCCATAGCCAACCTTAGTAGATCCTTTTTTACATTCACCACTGCTGTTTGAATTTATAGAGAAACCTTTTTGTTCTCCATCAGATTATAAAAGTACTGCTTGTATTTCCACTATCCTCACAATAATCTCTTCATGCTTATGTTTATTTTTTGATATTTCTAAAACTGAAGGAGAACAAGAGTTGGGAGGAAAGGTAGTTCTGGTCACTAGAAAAGTTAATGTAACAATGTATTTCAAACTATTTGTTGTTAGCAATTTGGGATCCAAAGATACACTGATTTTTAAGCTAAAAATCCAATATAATTTGGGAGCTGCAGTTCAAAAATGTGCCACAGACCAAAGGATTTGTATTGGTAAAGAAAACACTAATGTTAACATATATTGCAATCATGGGAGTGAAAGTTGAAAATGTTATTTGTCCAGATATTGTTGAATACCTTGGTGTGAATATATGATTGTTTAACATATCTTTAAGCTGGCTGTATTTTACATTTTATTTTTTTATCCTCACCCGAAGACATTTTTCCATTTTTTGTTCAGATAGAGTGGGAGGGAGAGAGAGGAAGAGAGAGAGAGAGAAACATCGGCGTGAAAGGGACACATCGAGTGGCTGCCTCCTGCACGACCCAACCAGGGCTGGGGACAAACTGCAACCAAGGTACATGCCCTTAGTGGGAACCGAACCTGGGTGTCTCTGTACTGCAGGCCGACACTCTAACCACTGAGCCAAACCGGCCAGGGCTGTATTTTACATTTTAAAGCTGTTTGGGGCTACATATACATAATCTGTATAAATGAGGTCTGAAATTTTTTAAGCTAACTTTTAAATAATGTTATCATTACTAAAGGGATTTAAGTGAATTTGGGTTTTTCTAAAACATTTAAAAGTTGTATTAAAAATGTGTTCTAACATGAGTGAAAATTGAGTTTAAAAGTGATTTTTCCAAATTTAGGGTATATGCAACACTAGGAGCACATAAATAGGACCATTGGTAAAGAAAGTGAACACATTATTTCCAAGCCAGTCATTCAAATCAGACATTTATCGAACATCTAGTTTGTGCCCATGGGAGATACCAGCCTATGTGCCAATATCTATTTTTTAATTCCTAAAGGTAAGGGTTTGTTAAAGTAGTTAGTTGCTGTTCAGTATTAAAGGAGTTATAAACTGATGACAATGAGTACAGTGAATACTTTCAAATATATAGTGCAGTTAACACGATAGTGAGATACGTTTCTTTAAAGTTAGATTGCTCTTTAATAAAGGCCTTTTGTTGCTAGAAAAGTTAGAGTAATATACCACATTAGTAATAGTAGTAGTATTAGACTTACATGAGTTATAGCTAGTTAATGGCAAAGATAGGATTAGACTTCAAGACTTCCAACAGCCATATAGAGATCTTTAATGAAATCATGCTCTCAACCACTAATGGGATCTTATTCAGAACTTTTGTCATTACTAATACTATGAATAAGTATCTTTCATTTTAACCTGCATTTATATTAAACATTAGCTAATAAATGGCAACCTCCATTCCAAATGTCTAGAAAGACATCATCCATCCCTCCCAAACTCCACACAAGTATGGCACGAGTCATTAGGAAGCTTCTGGATATTCATGGCTCCACAAAGTCATGAAAAAAATTCTTTAGCTCACTAGATATTGAGCCAGGATCCTGAAACTGGGCAGGAAAGGGTATTTGTTGTTTTGGGGGCTATTTTACATTGCCAAATAAAGCATTATGGAATAGCAGTAGATTGAAGAAGATGGCTCTTATGTGTCCATTTTTACTAAACAGACTTACTTTTCACTGAGAAGCATTTGGGGAATATTTTATTAATTATTTGCTGACAGTGATTATGGAGTAGACTCTGAAAAGGCTGGAGGCCTGAGTCTTTCAAACCCAGCCTTCTCACCTGCCCCACTCCATGGCATGGTATGGAATGCCCAAACCAAAGAAGCACAGATGGCCCAGAAGGTCACACTGGGAGCGGAGATCTCCGTGTCATTCATTACATGCACAATTTTAAAACTATTCATTATTTTTAAAATTTCTGCTGGGGTATGCTTCTTTCTTCCTATCAGTCCGAGTAGAGATCTTGCCTATATTTTGTAACCAAAGACAGATAAAGTATGCAGGGACTAGATAAATGTTTATAGCTACTGACATTTGTCAGGAAATTTTCTAAATGAAACCTTCCTGGAAGATAATTACATTACTTCGTAAATGTTTTTCTGGGATTCTCATCCTTTACCGAGATAGAAATCATCTGGGTAGTCAGGAACTGTAAATCTTTGCAAATATTAATAAAATCTTCATTGTTTATAGAACATCACCAAATGCAAAAGTATATGTTGAAGTGATGTCATTAACTCATTTCAATAATGCAACTATTAAGCAGGCAATCCAACTGGTTTACTAATTTTCTGGAAAAGGTGTGAAACAATGAATCTTAATATAGTTTATGCATAAATTATTTGTGCTTAATGGATCCACATTTTCACTCATATTTTATTAAAATCCTGAGCCACGAACTGCAATTAGGTAACTATTTATACATTAGTCAGAGAGTTAAAAACATTAGAGTCAGGTAACTGAGGTAATTTTGCAAGATGAGGTCATTTTTTCCTCCAGCACCAGATGGGTACTGCAGGTGAGAACTATAACTCTTTGATCTCTTCCATATGACTCAGAAAGAAAATTAAGGGTTAATATTGAAATATTTTATAGTAAAAAAAATCATTGTTAAATAGTAAGTTGTTGTGAAATGATACACTGGTCAACATGCTGTCTTTTTGTGCAACTGTCAAGTTAAAAAAAAAAACCCTAATTATAAAATAGAAACTAATATAAAATTCAACCCTGCATCTAAAACAAAAAAAAAGCAATTATTTTTTCTCAGCTGACAAATTTCTGTGAACTGTGATGATACAATGACGCATTTTGGTTTGTAGTTTATGGAACTATTCTCAATACTTTCATATCTGAGAAGACATCAGTTAATAGATTCCTTGGTCTTAATGTATTACGCCTTTTTGTTGTGTCGCCTGTGTGGTTTTCAGTTGGCAAGTATTGTAGCACATTTGCACTCACATATTCTCAAATCAGAATGTAGAAATGAGCACACCTGGCTAGAAAAGTCTCTGACGCAGAGACTGAGTCTCACTGGAGGCCTGGGTGGGCGAGCAGCAAGTCGGGGGGGAGGGGGGGGGAGCGTGTTCTCATTTCAGGGAGTTTTCCACTGTGGATATGAATAATCCATGAATAACCCATGGCCGATTCAGTGATTCGGATCAATGATGACTGTTGACAAGAGCAAACCACATACATTAGCTTTTCCACATATCATCGTACTTGGCAGCGTCTGCATTACCTTTGAAGAAGTGTGATCTGGAGCTCTAAGGGGGGCGTAGTATTAAGTTATTTTTTATATGTCAGACACTGTTAGGTGCCTGATAAATGTTAGCTTATTTAATCCTTACAACTTTCAGAATAAGATTTCAGTTCTCACTTTACAAATAATAAAACTGACTCTCAAGAAGATTAAGTAATCTACTCAATGTTACACAGATACTAGGTGATGGATCTAGGATTAAAACATGTCTGCCTATATCATTCATCCATCTTATTTTTTTTTTCATTTGACAGGGATTTATTGCATATTTGTTATACTGGGTGGGGTTCGGGGGATACAGTGATGCTCAAGAAGTACATCATCCCCAAACTCATGGAGTTTCCAGCCACTTAAACAAATTACAGAGTTTAGGTTCTTTCTACCATACCCAACAACTAATACGCTGACTGGCAGTTAGGAAGTTATTTTTTAGAGCTTAATGAAAATTGAAATATTTTTTAAAATCTGTTAAAGAAAACAATAATCTGAAAAGAAGTACTTTATTGCCACATCAAATCTCTGAAGTATTCCTGATTATTATAAAAGTATCTGAACAATGGGCCTGATTTCCCCTTTTAAAAAATATTACTTGTTATAATTTTTATTATTAGATGCAAAAGCAATTACTAACTGATGAACAGTTACTGTTAATAATACATTATTATTATTACCTTGTATTTATAAATATTTTAAACATTTAAAAAACACGTTAATGGGTGCTCTTATTAGCTCTTTATAACAACCCTGGCCAAACCTAGTTCCTTTGGATCCAGGTTTCTTGGTGCTTATAGAAAGTTGTGCTTTGGCTTTGTCTTAATTTTCCAAAGTAACAGGCATTTACTGAGCTGCTGCTATGTGTAGTGTATTCTGCCAAACACTGTGGAGAAATAAAATGATTGGAAAAGTTCAGTACTTGCTCTTAGAGAAGCTTAATTGGGGCAACAGATGCAGATGGATAACATTAGGGAGCGAGTCTCACAGTTTTGCGTAAGGTAATGCTGTACCTGGGCTAAGAGTAGAACTCACCAGACTCAAGAATCCAATTGATTTACAATGTCCCAGAATTGTAGTGGATGTTAAGGGAAAAGCAGTCTGGGTAGAAAAGCCAGTTTTAAATTATGTTTCAGCTGTGTCTTATCTTGAGTAAATACCAGTAGAGGGCAAAGACAAGAGTTTATTTACTTTTTTTATATCACTCTTCTAAACAGGTATATTTCTTGCTAGCTAAGCAACACAATGGAAAACACGGCGAAAATAAATAAAAAGGAGATTCTAGATGGGCTGCCCAAAGACATGAAGTTACCCACCAATGAAGCACTTTTGGACTATCAGTAAGCTTAGATTGTTAAATCCAAAGGTTCCGCATGTAAATGGCAACCACTGTTAAGACTCCTGTAACTCCAAATGGAAATTCATGCGCTCAAAAGCTGCCAAGGGAGCTGGACTGGCGAGGGGGGCAGGGGGGTTGGAGGCATAATTGCACTCTTGTGCTAAGTGCATATTTTTTAAAGTTTTGAAATTATATAACATAGTCCAAGTAGGAGCTATGAAACAGCATTCATTAATGTGGTTTTAGCTCCCTCCCTCTTTCCATTGTATTATATTGGTCACTCTCCCATATATACGCAAGACCTGGCTGGCCTACCTCTTAAAATACAACATAGAATAGTTAACATACATTCATAGAAGAGTAAATGAGGAAAATTTTCTTCTTTGTTTAACTTTTCATTTCCAGACATTCCCATTTGCATTCTCTCCAAATAGCTACAGTTCCAAAACAAATGATTTAGAGTTATTTTTAGTAAGAATAATAGTTCTTAACATTTCACTCCCAGGAGTTGGAGATAAAACTAGAGGTAATACCTATTCTATATTGATGTTTTATCCAACCAGTGGAAAGTGAGCCCCTTGAGAGCTTTTGAACCCCAACTTTTGGCATAGGGTAGGTGTTTTAATGTGTAATTCTTAGGGAGTGAATGATTATATGTCAGTCTTTTTCCAAATAAAAATGTACTTCATTCATGCATTTATTGAATGAATACTTGAATGTTTACCAAGTTCTGGTGGACAACAGTGGACAGGACCCATAGTCCTGATGAAGCATGAGAGACAGACATTCAACAACTAACTCAAGCTTTAAAAAAATTTAAAAAAAAACCTACATAACTGTAATTAAGGTGCTATGCAAGAAAAGTGTAGGGCATTACAGAGGGGTCAGGAAAGCTTATTTTAGGAAGCAATGTTTAAGCTGATCTCTGGAAGAGGAACAGGTAGGATGGAGACACAGAGTGGTAGAGAGAAAGGCTCATGGAAAAGACACTGGGGTGAGGAAGTGCTTCCTACAGTCCAGGAAACGAGAGAAGGCTGGGTGAGGGCGAGAGGGCAGGCACGGACTCTGATGGCCTCGGCAAGGGCCAGACGAGTGGAGCCCTGTGCAATACTTGCAAGGGATGTGGAAGTGGCAAGCCATTTACTGGAGGGGACACGGTGGCAAGTGGGGAACCTGTGATATTGGTGACTAGGTCTGAGAGAATTATTTTTAACATTCAGGAAAATGTTAAGAGAATTGTTTTTGTCTTGTCATTTTTCTCTGGACATTTTTAGAATTCTAGAAAACGTTTTCAGTGTGCCCTTTTCTAGATTCTCTTAAAACTGAATTCTTTATAAATCATTAGAAAGCATCAACATTATTATTATAAAATACAAATGGCAATTGATTTAAAACACTGTTATCTCTATATTTTACTCAGTAAAATAGATCCAGAAACAAAATCATTTAAGAAAATGGGTTTTTTATCCCTAAATGGGTTTTTATAATATGTTTACTACTTCATTTCAACTCAAATAATTTAATTTTTAAATTTTGTCTCACTAGTTTTTTCTAAGATAAGTAATAGTAACAACTGTTATCTTTGTTTATTATCAGCTGTCAAATAAAGGAAAATACAGTAGAACGATACATGGTTCAGATAAAGAGTCTTAGAGAAAAGAACCAAAAATATCATGAAAGAGTGAGTATATGATCTGAAGCCTATTTCTAGTCATTGAACATTTACACCAATGCTGTAAAAAAGTGTGAATTATGATGAAATGTATCCTAGGGAATTATCTTATTTAGTGCTTGTAACTGGTTCATTTACAATCTAAGTTTTTTTGCACATGTGAGGCAGGAGGACCCTGCTATTCCTATTATATTAATTATTGTGTCAAAGGAAGTCAATTTGAATTATGTTATTTAGATCACGACGATGCTGCATCTTATGTTCAAAATTTTAAAGCTCTGAAACCACATTAATCTTTTCATTTCTTATTTAACCAAACTATAAAACATTGATTATTTTTAATTTCTGTATCTGTCTTCTTTTAGATTTCCAGAGAGTGTGAATATGTAAATATTATTTGAAAAGCACAATCTTAGTTGCTAAAATGACTAATTCCATGTTTAAGATGATGTATTGTTTGTATAAAATCAGATTAAAATGAATATCCAAGGGGCGCTGCATACGACTATCAGAACAAAAGATCAACGGAAATAAAGTCTGAAAGCAGTAAATGATGATTCATTCAACTTATCCCTTGAAGCATCTCATGAATGAGGAAATGCTGAGGGTGTCCCCTATTAAAACATTTATTTTATATGGACCCTGAAACTTCCACACTTAACTGTTATTGGAGAGGGGGAGGAGAGCTTTTGTCTAAAAAGACTATCTACAAATTTTAACAAAATCTAGAGTCAGAGGCCTGATTTTGTGTCCTGACTATACAACTTACAGCTGATGTAATTTTGGCCAACACTGGTATGATCCCTGTTTCCCTCTATAAAATGGGGATTCCTAGTCTTCCGCAGAGGGCTAATAGCAGATATTTATTTGGCAAGACAGGCCCTGGTGGTCAGTCACTTTCAATAGGGACAAAAAAAGAAAATCAGGCCTATGGATGAGGGTGGAAAAGTGAAGTTCGTTGCTTCAAGTGAGCTGCCCACAGGAGACCAGGACGCATCCTCCAGGGGTCAGCTTTGGGACTTTCATTTGGTTGTGGAAAGGACAACAGGTCAGGACTAAGGAGTCACTTTCCCATAGCCCATCAGTTGGAGCCAGAAACAAAGTTTTGTTTCCAGGAGGATTAGTGCAAGAATGGGAGAGGCCTAACTCTTCTCTAGGCGTCATTGGTGGACGCAGCAGTGCGGGGCATTGAGAGGCCAATCCTGCTCCAACTGTATGTATCTATATTTTTCCATTTGTGCTGCTACAGACCCAGGCTAAGCCATCATCATTCCTTACCCATCCTTCCTCTCTCCAGTACATTTTCCACAGTACAAACAGATTGCCTTTTGAATACTTGTTTAAAAGGCAGCAGAGGCTTCCTATTGCACAGAAACGAAAATCCATAGTCCTTACTAAAGTCTTCAAAGCCCTGCAAAATCTGACCTCTGCACACCTCTCCCACCTTGCCTCCAGCCACTCCACCCTTTGCTTACCACTGCTTCTTTTAAATCTTGGAAAACCCAGTCTCTTTCTCATTATTGTACCTTTACAATAAAGAGGCTGTTTTCTCTTCCCGGAATTCTCCTCTAGGCTAGATCCTTTTAATTCTCCTAATCTAAGCTGGAATGTTGAGGTCACATGTATTTAAATTGCTAAATTAAATTTGACTCATTGGCCCTGGCTGGTTTGGCTCGGAGGTTAGAGCGTCCGCCTGCGGTCCGGAGAGACCCGGGTTCGGTTCCTGCTAAGGGCATGTACCTTGGTTGCAGTTTGTCCCCGGCCCTGGTTGGTCGTGCGGGTGGCAGCCACTCGATGTGTCCCTTTCACATCGATGTTTCCCTCTCTCTCTCTTCCTCTCTCTCCCTCCCACACTGTCTGTACAAAAAATGGAAAAATGTCCTCGGATGAGGATTAAAAAAAAAAAAATTTGACTCATTGGCAAAACATATTTTTTTCTTCAGTTGTCAAAATCAGAAATGCCCCTCTTCCTTCCTACCCATCATCCCTTCCTATGTGTGTTCAGTTGTGTTTAGACTGACACCTCATTTAGAATGGGTCTTGCTCTCTGTTTGCATTCATTCGCTATTTCACAGTTCACTGTGTCCACTTCCTTACAGCCCAATTCATTCTTTCACTGTTACTATTCCACCATCTGTGCTCTAGCAACAGTACTAGTGACCAATTAGCCAGGTCCCATGGACTCTCTTTACCCTGAATCCCTTCAGCAGTCACTCCTGCCATCTTGAAGCTCTTTACCCTTTGGGTTCCAAGACATCACTCTTCCTTAATTGTCCTCCTACTTCTGTGTCCATTCTGTGTCCTCATGTTTTTCATTCATTGTCTTTTTCCTAGACCTACACTTCAATTCAGGTATTTACCAGTGTTCTGATCTCAAACCTCTTCTTTCATTCTAGTTTCTCTGTGGGTAATCTTATTTAACACCACAATTTCAAATGCCATCTCTCTGTGGTGATGGTTCTTATATGTAAATTACAAATTTTGTAATTCTGCACACTAGAAAAATTAGCACATGTAGAAAACTGGTGAAATCCAAATCACATCTCTAATTTAGTTAAAGACATTGTACCAATGGTCTGGCCGGTGTGGCTCAGTGGTTGAGTGTCAATCCATGCACCAAGAGGTTTCCGGTTCGATTCATGGTCAGGACACATGCCCAGGTTGTGGGCCTGATTCCCAGTGGGGGGCATGCAGGAGGCAGCCACTCACTGTTCTTTCTCATCGAAGTTTCTATTTCTCTCTCCCTCTCCCTTCCTCTCTAAATAAATAAATAAATAAATAAATGGGGGAAAAAAATTGTACCAATGTCAGTTTCCTGGCTTTGGTAATGTAATATATAAGATTGAGAAAAAATGGGTGAATAGATGAGAACTCTATGTACTATTCTGGCAAATTCTGTTCTTGTTCTTGTGAGTCATAAAAGGTTAAAAGGGTAGAAGCCCATGAAATAGCCTTATTTACTGAAACTTCTCTCTTCTATTTTAAAATGTAATCATTATTTTTACCTCAAACAACAGTTATTTACTTCACCTTGCAAGATAAACTTATTTTTAGTATATTGGTGGATATATCTAAATTTTATTTCAGTATGTAGCTCAAAGTAATTTCTCAGACATAGTGAATTTTGTAACATATTGTCAGAAACATTTCCCTTTCATCTGAAATTTATATGGGATTTGGGAAGTTTAATGTAGATGTAATTACATTTATATATAATGGCAACTATGATATAGTACTTTTCCTACAACATTCAATTACATTTTTAGGACATGTGATGCTGCTTTAATTTACAAATAAAAAACATCACATGTTTGAAAAGAATAGTTATTGTGTTACAAAAGTTTTAATGTAAGAGAACTGGATTCACTTTGAGAAGTATTGTGCTATGTATGGAAAGTGAAAGAAATTTTTCTTTATATATTATATATTTATTAATTGTAGGTAGTGACTTTTAAGTTATCAATACCTTTATAAGTGTTTGCCTATATATAATTGTAAATAGTTTGTATCTAAAATTTAATTTAGAGGTCATTGTGCCTAACTAAAATCAAGTAACATAAGCAAAGTCAGATAAAGATTTATTTAGGGTTCAGAACATACTTGATAAAGGAATTTTCCACTTCTACAAAAATAAGTAGAAAAGCCCATATTTGGTCAAAGGATTAGCAGTGCAATAGTTTAGCTAGGGATATTTTCATTGCTATGATTCAAGTTTCTACAAATACTTCATTTTAAAATAACTTATATAAAGCCAACATAATTCAATTTATTTATAAGAAGACAAAACATGAATCCATTTCACTCAAGAAAATGGAATATTTGAGAATTGCTTGAAGAGTAACATAGTTTATTTTTCAGTTGCTGATATTGATATTGACCTTCATTTCTATCCTCTCTCGAGGACATTTTTTCATTTTTGTTCAGATAGAGTGGAAGGGAGGGGGAGAGAGAGAGAGAAACATCAATGTGAAAGGAACACATCGAGTGGCTGCCTCCCGCACAACCCCAACCAGGGCTGGGGACAAACTGCAACCGAGGTACGTGCCCTTAACGGGAACCAAACCCAGCTTTCTCTGGACCGCGGGCCAACACTCTAATCACTGAGCCAAACCAGCCAGGGCTGACCTTCATTTTTAAATTAAACTTTTTCTTTTTAGATAATTACAGATTAACATGCAGTTACAACAAATAATACAGAGAGCTCCTGAGTACCCATTACCTAGTTTCTTATAGTAGATTACAAAACTATAGTATAATACATATGGCAACTGGGATGTTGATACTGACATTGTAACAGTCCAGACACAGAACATTTTCATCAATACAAGCATCCCTCATGTTGTCCTTTTAGAGCCACTTACTCCCCTCCTAGTTCCACCCATTCCTTAGCCCCTAAAACCATTAATCTGTTCTCCATTTTTGTAATTTTGTCATTTTAATAGATTTTTCTAAATGGAATCATACAGTAAGTAACTTTCTGGGATTGGCTTTTTTTGTTCTACATAACTCCCTGGAAATTCATCCAGGTTGTTGACTATGTCATTCGTTTGTTTCCTTGTGTTATTGAGTAGTATTTCATGATACGGAAGTACCTCATTTTGTTTAACCATTTTCCTATTGAAAAACATGTGAGTTGCTTTCAGTATTTGGCTATGACCAATAAAGCTTTTATGAACATTTGTGTACAGGTTCTCATGTGAATATAAGCTTTCACTTCTCTGAGATAAATGCCCAAGAGTACAGTTGCTGGGTCATATGGTAAGCAAATACTTAGTTTTGTAAGAAATTGGCATCCTTTTAAAGAGAATAGCTGTACCATTTTACAATCCTATCAGCAATTATATGAGTGATCCAGTTTATCTCCATACCTGCCAGCATCTTATAATATCACTATTTTATTTTAGCCATTCTGATAGGTGGGTAGTGATATCTCATTGTATTTTTAAGTTGCATTTCCCTTATGGCTAATAATGTTGAACATGTTTTCATATGCTTATTTGTCATTTATATATCCTCTTTGATGAAATTTATCTTTGTGTCTTTTGCCTATTTTCTTTTTCTGTTGAGTTGCATAAATTTTTTTTTTAAATGTAGCTAGGTAGGTAGGTAGGTAAATAATCTTCTGGATATTAGTCCTTTTTGGATATGTTATTTGCAAATATTTTCTTATGGTCTGTAGCGTATCTTTTCATCTTCATAACAGGATCTTCCACAGAGCAGTTTTTAATTTTAATGAAGTTCAGTTTATCAATTTTTTCTTTATGAACCATGCTATGATGTCAAGTGTAAAAGCTCTTTGCCTAGCCCTAGATCCCAAGAAATTTATCCTAAGTTTTATTCTAAAATGTTTATAGTTTTACCATTTCAAGTTAAATCATGGTCCATTTTAATTTTTGTATAAGGTATAACAAGACTTAGATCAAGGTTGCTTTTTCACCCCCCTAGAGTGGTGGAATGAGAGAGGGCTCTGATGGCTTCCTCTTTTTACAAAAGCAATAGTCTCCTTGTGGGGCTGTATCATGATGACCTCATCTAACCCTCAGTCCCTTCCAAAGGCCCCACCTCCAAATGTCATCACATTGGGCACAAGGTCTTCAACATGTGGATCTGGGGTAGGGGAGCATAAACATTCAGTCTGTAGCACAGTATTTCATTCCTTTTTATGGCTGAACAAAATTCTGCCTGCATTTTTCATTTCAGTTATTGTACTTTTTAGCTCCAGAATTTCTTTTTGGTTCTTTTTAAAAAATAATTTCTTTTTCTTTATTGCTATTTTCTATTTAGTGAGATATTATTCTCATACTTTCCTCTAGTTCTTTAGAAAACTCTTTGAATATATTTTAGATAGCTGATTTAAAGTCTTTATCTAGAAAGTCCAACCAACATTTTGGCTTCCTCAAGGACAATTTCCATTGACTGGCCTGTTTTCCCTGTGTAGTAAAAATCCCAATAAGAATGTGGATGGATCATATTTTCTTGGTTTGTTTTTTGCATTCCTCATAATTTTTGTTGAAAAATGGATGTTTGAATATTATAATGCGACAACTCTGGAGATTAGATTCTCTTTCCCCAGGGTTTGGCATTGTTGCTGCTTATTATAGTTGTTGTTTGCTTGCTTAGTGACTTTTCTGAACCAATTCTGTGAAACCTGTTTTTTGTTGTGTATGGCCACTAAAGTCTTTATTTGCTTAGCTTAGTGGTTAGCTAATGACTGGACAGAGATTTCTTTAAATGTTTCTAACCAATAAATCTCCCCACCCTTTGCTGAGAGGCTCTATGTACTAGCTCTGGAACATGACTTTTACACTCAGCCAGAAAATTTACAACTTCACCTTCACCTTTACTTCTGCAGAGCCTCAGGGTGAGCCAGAGGTGAGTGCGTAGGGCCTTTCCCAAGTACCTGCACAGCCCTCAGTATGCTCACAGCCTTATTCATGCATGTGGCCTTTTAGATTCCTGAGAACATGTCAGAGCTTTCAAATCCCCTATGCACATCTCGTCTTCACCTTTCTTTTAAAGTGTTCTTTTGTTTGTTTGTTTGTTTGTTTGTTTGTTGTCAGCTTGATGTTTACCTCAACTGCTATTACCACCTCAGGGAACTATAATGCTTAACAACTGCCTCTGATTGTTTTTAACAAACATCAATCCTGGAAAAGACTGCTCACACACTGGGCAAGGTCTGAGTCAGGTCAAGTAAAGACAAGGTTTGCTGGTGGGATTTTCCAGGGAACTACCAGATATGTTAAATAATGACCATTATTTGGGGAATGTGCTTTGGAAGAGTTCTGCTCCCTTCTCCTCTTTTCTCCCTGACCCCATTCTCTAGGTTGCTTAGGCTGCTGGTTTCTACCATGACTGTGGGGCTGTTGGTTTTTAGGGCAAGGTAAAATACCACAGAGCTCACTGTCCTTACCCAATTCAACCATTTTTCTTGAATAAACACTCCCTGGAAGTAATTGCAAGCCTTTTAATTTCCAGATTTCTGAAAGGTTGATTTTACTAATTTTTGCCAATTTTCTAATTGCTTTAATGAAGAATAGTACTTTTGAAGGTCTTTGCTCCAATATTCCTGCTTATGTCACTCCTGATAAGATTTTAAAGAGTGGGTTAGAAGGAAAGAACTTCAGTTTCCATATTTATCATATTATGAATCCCTTGGTATTAAAAATTCTTCAGAGACAGAATTAATTATGACAGTTTAGCAAATTGTAAACAAAAGATCAGAGAAGTTAAACCACTAAATTTAAAATATCAAACCCTTTAATCATTGTTTCTCTCTTTTGAAATTACCCAAAGCCTATCTATCCCAATTCTATTTTTTGCCTGTATTTATCAATACTGAGCATCATAAAGTTAATTACCTTTTGCTTTTATTCAATTTATCAAAGTTTTAAATTAAAATTCTAATGCACCAAAATAAAAATCACACCATATAGCCTATGGAATAACTTAAAGAGCATTAAAGTAACATTAAATCCTAGTTTGTTAAATTAAGGCCTATTTAGCTAAACTGTTTTAAGAAATCAAGTTTTTCAGTCTTCAAGTTTAAAGTATGTTGGATTAAGTAATAAAGAATGGAGTTTTAGTAGGCTGTAATATATCAATAAATCATAAATTGTTTAGATTATCTGAAAGAACTTCGCTATTCAAAGTGAGGCTTGTGGGCCAGCAGGCTTAGCATCACCTGGAGCTTGTCAGAAATGTACCAAATTTATTGAATCAAAATCTGCATTTTAGCAGTATCCCCAAGTGCTTGGTATACAGAATAAAGCTTAAGAAGCAGTGGCTTAAAGAATCAATGTTGGGCCCTGGCCGGTTTGGTTCAGCGGTTGGAGCGTCGACCTGCGGTCCTGAGAGACCCGGGTTCGGTTCCCGCTAAGGGCATGTACCTCGGTTGCAGTTTGTCCCCGGCCCTGGTTGGTCGTGCGGGTGGCAGCCACTCGATGTGTCCCTTTCACGTCGATGTTTCTCTCTCTCTCTCTGTTCCTCTCTCTCCCTCCCACTCTACCTGAACAAAAAAATGGAAAAATGTCCTCGGGTGAGGATAAAATTAAAAAAAAAAAAAAAAAAAAAGAATCAATGTTGGGAAAGAAAATACTCTTAAAGTATCCAAATAAGTTAAGAGGATAAAAAGACATCAATGTCAGAAATAAATTACAATTTTGGAGAAAGTTATAGTAAAAAGCATGTTAAAGTATAGGCAAATAAGTAATTTTTAAGAGAAGCATTAAAATATTTTAACTACATACATTTTATTAGATTTTTAAAAATTGAAGGACAGACATCAGGGGAGTATAAGAACGTAAAGAGACCCTAAGAAAATTACAAGGAAAATGTATTGAGTTCATACACACTAAAACCTCTCTGCATATATATAATAAGATAGCAAGGGCCAGGAATAAACTCAGTTGATTAAATAAGAAGCTTAGAAACATAGGCAGGATGGATATCCACAGAGGAAACCCAGTCCATATTTCAGAAATGAAGTGTTGGAATGACAAGTAGCCATCACCCTAAACATAAGAGAATTTGGGTCATTTGTGAAAATAGCAAAGAATAATGTAAATTCTACAAAAGCAGTACTTTTTGTCTATTTTGTTCACTTATATATTCCTAGTGTATAGATGACTACTTGGCTTCATAAATATTGACTAAATGAATGATTATTGCTAAAGAAGAATGGTGTTAAGCTGGAAAAATTGACCTCCAAGGTCTAATTCTAATATTCATTGATCCTACTGGGGGTGAGAGACTGGTAGATTAATAACACAATTGTTTAAGTGTAATTAAGTGTAACGTTCTATCCAATGGTTACTGTGTTAATGGGTTTAATTTTATTTTAAGTCTTCCATGTTCCATAAACTTTTAGAGATGTTATGATATAAATTATTTCATAAACTATGAAATAGTTCTCACTTTTCAAACCTCAATGTGTGACTCTGTGTTGAGGAAAATCAGTGTAAACACTTGAGCAGATGTAGTTAACTACTATTGATTTTCACGACAGAATAGACGCTTAAAGGATGAACAAATCTGGCACATACGGCACCTCCTAAAGGAACTGAGTGAAGAGAAGTCAGAAGGATCAAACATTGTAACAAGAGAGGATGTTGAAACGGCAATGAAGGAAAAGTGGAAGTTTGAAAGAGACCAGGAACAAAACTTAAAAGGTGATTTATGAACTTAGAAAATAACAATAAAGCTGAATCAAGTTATTTCTTGGATGTATTAACACTTCTGTTTTCTCATATATTAAAAATGCTGTGAACATAGTTCAGGTGATATCCTTACCAGCACAACTACAAACACAGGTTGGTAGACGAACAGGAGAGGGAAATAACAACGGGCAGAGCAGGTGAGGGGGAGAGGGAAGGGCAGTGATCGAAAACAAGGACACATGAAAACCACCCGACTCTCACACACCGTGTGATACCCTGTAGACGCCACTCTGAACTCCGCACGGTGGGGATTTGTTCTTTCTTTGGAGGAATTCTCTTGTTTGTTGGCTTCAGCCTCAGTACAGTGTTGGGAATGATAAGATGAATATAACCATGAAGCTTCCCCCAACCAATATCTCCACGGAGATAAGGCCCCCACGCACCCACCCATTTAGATGGGGAAAGAGGGATTCGAGTTTGCAAAGAGGCAGTGTGGAGGTCATAGACTGAAGTGATGCTAGGTGCAGAATACGAAGGACCCAGGACATACTCCTGCCATGGCCTCAGAAAATACCAGGATCCTGGTGGTAAGTCACACACACAGTTTTGACACTTGTATTATTATTTTTTTAATTCCTGTTCCTTTATCCCAAACTTGCTGCTGTGACTTTTAAAACTACTTTAACCAGGACCCCTATAAATACCGTCTCTGCTAGGAGGCTGGAAAACATGAGGAAGAGACTCGAGTGCTATCAGGAAGCAGTACTAGAAGCTGGGAGGCAAAACAAGGGACTAGGGTTTCTGAAACATTCTCCAAACATTCTCCAAACATTCATTCAGAGAGCCTCCTTACCCAAGCACTTTGCACAGAGCAGGCATTCCATTCATAGATAATTTGTTGTTTTGAATGAAATAGTTACCAAAAGCAAACATTAATCAGCAACCTTCATTCTTCAGGGTCTCCAAAACTGCCCCGTGAACTTCCTCCTACCTGAGTCTCTTTATAGGCAACAATGATGTCATGAGGTAGTGGATATGTATTGTGCAGGGCTCCTCTCCAGCAAAGCTTTGCTTATGTTCGGAAGGAATACTTCAGTGAGTCCCTTGAGATAGGAGTGAGACCAGAACAGACCCTCGGGTGCACTCACTGAACTGCCTCCAAACGGGGGGATGGGGGGGCAGTTATTTGAGGTGTGCTGGTTTACCGTTTGGGCGGCTGGGGGGGTGTCAGATGAGACTGGGGCTGAGCTGATGGCTGAGCACAGCAGAGGACAGGGCACACGTGTCGTGCAAGGAGGAAAGCAGCCCAAAGAAGCTGTGCTAGAAAGAGAAAGAAAGAGAACAAATGTGCCTGAAAAGGATTTCTGAGGCAGTCACGGTACATCTGGGCAGTCCCTTGCCACTGGACCAGTGTACGGAGCAGCTGCCGTCCCGCCACAAGGCAGCTTGTTTCAGTGCTGAGCCTCAGAGCCTTCCAGACCGACTGAATCAGAATCTGCGTGGTGACCAGATCCTAGGGGATTCCTACCTCTCCTCCTCTCTCCCTTCCCTCATTCTCCCCACCTATTTATCCCTCTCCTCTCTCTGTCTTCCCCTGGAAGTTGGCTCCTTTTTCTGAGGCTGTTGTCCCCATGAGGCTGGAACTCTAACCATACACACCTCTGATTTTCCATCCTTATAACCTCAACATGGAGACAAGAGACACGTTTTCCACCAGTTGCAGTAAAACTATTTCTACAGAAGGACTCGGCATGTGCCTAGCCTGGGACACGTGCTCAATACAAGGTGGGGCAAAAGTAGGCTTACAGTTGTGAGTACAGGAAACAGAGTACATAAATGTCTTGAATTATTGCTTATTGATTATTGTATTATTTCCCATATGAACAACTGTATTTGACAAGGAGTAGGAAAAGTGTGCTGCTAGAAGGGAAGGGAAGAGGGCTTCTGGGAAAGTAGAACAGCAGCCACTCCATCCACCTCTGTGTGAGAATCTTCAGTGATGCCAACCAGCTCTCCCCCAAAGGCTGAACGTGGCACGGGGCTGAGGCAGCAACAGTCCGCACGAATAAGAGGACGGCTCTCCATCTGGGGTATAGGAGTATTGATTGTTTTTTGTTTGGTTTTGTTTCTTTCATCCTCATCCGAAGATATATTTTTCCATTTATCTTCAGATAGAGTGGGAGGGAGAGATGGAGAGAGACAGAGAGAAAAATCGATGCAAAAAAGACAGGTCAATTGGCTGCTTCCCACACGACCCAAACCGGGGCAGGGACCAAACCGTAGCCGAGGTATGTGCCCTGGCCCGGAATCAAACCTGCGACCCTGTTCTGTGGGCAGACGCTCTGACCACTGAGCCAAACCTGCCAGGGCAGGAGTATTGATTGTTTAATGACAAGTGCCATTCATCAAGAGATTTTAAAATATGTAATCTTACATCTTTGGAAAACATGTGTCTGGAATCCTTCTGGACCTCTGGACTGGAGACCATCTCTCCAGGCTGACTGGAATGCCTCCGTCATCCCATAAACATTTACTGAGCACCAATCACGTGCCAGACTCCTGCTACGTGCTGGATTTGCAGAGATGAGTAGGTGTGGCATTGCCATCAAGGATCTCTCAGACGAGGTGGCGTGTGGCAGTGAGCCAAACAGCCATTAAGTTCCTTGCACCTGGCTCTCTGAAACACTTCCTTTCCCAAAGTATTCAGGAGCATGACATTCAGCCTGAAGATGGAGTCGCATGTCATGTTTAGCAAGTTTACCAGAGCAAACTGAAATGTTATGTGGTTGAGATAGCTCAATATTTATCCATATTTAACTGGGGAACTTATCTTTCACTCTCAAGTCTTGTAAATGGATGTGGGGGAAAAACATGTTGGTATGACTGTCATTTCACACAAATGAACTTTAGATGACAGACTAAACAACTTACTGAAATGGTTGCCAAGGACCTTGGAATGATATGAGGTAAAATCATTTTGCCCAGAGGCATATGGCCAGAAAAATGACATTTTACTAATAAAACATATATATGACATAATATATTGTACAGGATAGGACCCTTATCAAGCTATCAAAGGAACAATTTAAACTAGAGGGTTCTGAGACATATAGCTTAATTGTCTATGATAGCTTTCAATCACAGCCCCAACCACACCTCTACTTTAGAATTGGAAAATTAATTTTACTTAGATTTTGGGTCATGAGGTGTAGTTAAACAATAGTTTGAATAGTTTAGATTTCCTTACATTGTAGATATAAAATCAGATTTATGAGATAACAGCATTTTAATATCAGGCCCTAATTTCAAAAAATCAGATTGCAACATACAATAATTGAAAGGAGAGAGGAAATAACGTGCTGTTTTGATTTTCTTTCTACAGATATGCGCTTGCAAATAAGTAATGCTGAGAAGCTGTTTCTCGAGAAGCTCAGTGAGAAGGAATACTGGGAACAGTACAAGAATGTAGGGAGTGAACAGCATGCTAAACTCATTACCTCCTTACAGAACGACATCAATAAAGTCAAAGAGAATGCACTGAAAATGTCAGGTCAGTTGCAAGAAAACTAGTTCAAGTTCAGTAAAAACACTTCCATCAAATGGGCAGACATTTGATGGGGGGAAAAAATGGGTATTCCCTGAATCATTCTTTCCTCTCCTCGGGGTCAGCACAAGCAGCTGGAGCCCAAGGGCAAAGGCGGAGGGAGGAAATGGAGAAACTATCCCAGGAGCACCTAAGAAACTGAGAGGGGAAGTAACGGGAGGGCAGGTGGAGTGGAGAACCCTGCCAGCAACTGATTTCAACAAAGACGTTTCCTTCAGTGGGTGGTGTCTGTGCGCTCCCACACCTGGGTCTGGGGTGAGTCCACTGAGGCAGCAGGATCGGGGATCAGGCTATGTTAGAAAGGAAATTCACTGGAGGCAAGCTAAAGCAACCTCAAGTAAATGCTAAGTTGTAGTCAGAAAACATCAGAGAACACACTTGAGATGGGAAGTGGAGAGGGTGTGGGGCAGGAGGACATCAGGCGTGGAGAAGCAGCAAGCTCAGGGAACCATGAGGCCACCTGTCTGTCACTGCAACTAGTACAGTGGCTTAAAAGAACACCAGAGACAGAAAAGTCACTGGATAGAACCAGTGGGAGAAAGCTGGCCTGCAAGAACACTGTGGGTGGACGATAGTTGTGAGCCCAGCTGGCGATGGTGACCTGTATTGGAGAAGAGTTCATGTGAGGTCATTCCCATCATCCTCTGCAGAGGGCCTGGACAGACACTCTGCTTCTAGACCAATTTTTATGTACATTTCTCAGCTCAGCGCCTCTGCACCATCATGGTAGTGTAAATTTGGCCCCAAAGTAATCTGGGCTTGGAGTTACATGTTTTTAAAATGTTCTCCTCCCCAGAAGAAAAGTACAGAGTGAGAGTGTGGTACCTCCCTACTCCTGGCTGTTTCTCCAGCCACTCAGTGCGCTCTCTAGATAAAACCACTGTTACCAGTTTCTTATGTAGTCTTTCAGAAATATTATATATACATAAACAAACAGCATGCTACAAATGTAGTTTTTCACATAACAATGTGGACATCATTATAGATCAGTACGTATTAGTACTTTTTTAATCTCCTAGGCTATTTGTTCTTGTTGCACTATAATTTTTTAACCAGTCCCCTACTCAAAGCATTTAGGTTGTTTCCTGTCTTTTACTATTACAAATAATGCTGCAGTGAATACCCTTATACAGATCTCATTTTACTGTGGTGAATATCCTTGCATTCATGAATTTCACTTATGTGTATCTCTGAAGAGAAATGGCTGGCCCAAATAGCCCATTCATGTGTATTTTAACAGGCCTGGCCCTCCACCCGGGAATATCTTTTCATGGGTTCAAGAACCATATGAAGTTTCTTTCACATGAACCCTCTGTTCATGCCCTTGGCTCACTTTTCTGTTGTGCTGTGGAACACTTTACATTTTTAAAGGAAATTAGCTCTTTAACAGTGACATAAGGTACACATATTTCTCCCATTTGTCATTAGCCTTTTGTTCATGGGGTGTATGTATGAGAAAAATTTGTAGTGTTATATTTAAATCTTTAGTTTTTGTGTGTGGAGGGGTAGGAAGCCAATTTTACTTTTTGGCAGATGGTTTTCCAGTTGTCCCAGCATCGTTTATCAAGTAACCCGTTTTTACCCTGCTGATCTGAGATTCTGACTTGATCGTGACTTAATTTCCCATGTGTATTTGGGGATCTTTCTATACTTTCTATTCTGTTCCATTGGTCTGTCTTTGCATACCAGTACCATACTTCTAAAATAGTTATTGTTCTGGCATGTTTAAAATCTTTTAAAATTTTATCCAGCATTACTTTTTTTTATATTTTTAAAATAGAAAGAGTGATCTTCTCATACAAACTCAACCCATTCTCTTAAATAGAAATTTGGGTGATTTGATTCAGCTAAAAATTTTCATGCTGTTGTATCTGACTTTGGAGTGGCGGTAACAGCATTTACATATTGAGCTGCTTGCTGATTGTACCTCAGTGTATAGCCAACTTAGGTGTCATGGGAAATTGGTTCTGGGCTTATTCTATTTGCCATTAGTTCTAGGCACATCTCCCAGCCATGCAGCAGGAACTCTTCCTGGGGACTTTAAAGCACTTTGGGGGCCACTAATTGGACACAACGAATATGAGACGCCTAAATCAATTATCCAAAGCCGTGCTCTCCTCTTCACTCCCCTCCCCCATTCTTCCATGATTGCTCTGGAAGTCTCCTCCCACACCCATGAACATGGGTTTGTGCTAGACTGCTTTACTTGTGAGGAACAAGTATTTTAGAAAAAGGGGGTTTATTGTAAGTAAAACAGGATATTAAAATGAAACGTTTTTAGTATCAGTTTAAACTGGGGTGGCCATATAATGGATACCACATTTCAAAGTAAAGTGAGATACCACCTTGCAAACTTGCAATATGGACAAGGAGGAAAACTGGTTTCATATCTTCAACCACAGAATTTTGGTCTATAAAAGAAGTTGGAGAGGCCAAGGAAAGATGATCAGAAATTAGGGGAAGGTTTTTGGAAAGGGCTTTTGGTGTGCTATAAGGTCTACACTGTCCCCCAGAGGGGCAGGTGAAAGGTAATTCCTCCTTCACCTCAGATCAAGATGGAAAGTTTTTTGTTTTTTTGGTACGTGCCCCTAGTGGGAACTGAACCTAGGACCCTCTGGTCCACAGGCCAATGCTCCAACCACTGAGCCAAACTGGCCAGGGCAAGATGGAAAGTTTGTTTTTTGGGTTTTTTTTTTTTTCTTTTTTAATATGTTTTTATTGATTTGTTAAAAATAATTTTTTAAAAAAGTCTTTATTGTTGAATGTATTACAGATGTTCCTCATTTTCTCCCATTGACCCCCACCTCCCTACTCCCGCCCCCCTCCCGCATTTTCCCACACTGTCTGTGTCCATTGGTTATGCATATAAGTTCTTTGGTTTATTTCTTCCCACCCCCCAACCCCTATCCCTTTGAGGTTTGTCAGTCTAGCAATGAATTTGTACTTCTTAATCCCTTCACCTTTTTCACCCATTCCCCCAACACCCCTCCCATCTGGCAACCAACAAAATGTTCTCTGTATCTATGAGAATGTTTCTGTTCTGCCTGTTCATTTTGTTTGTAGATTCCATTGTCAATAGATATGTATTCATTGCCATTTTGTTTGTTCATATATTTTATCTTTTTCTTCAAAAAGATTCTTCATCGTTTCATATAATAACGGTTTGGTGGTGATGAACTGCTTTAACTTTTTCTTTTTTTTTTTTTTTCTTATCCTCACCCGAGGACATTTTCCCATTTTTTTGTTCAGGTAGAGTGGGAAGGAGAGAGAGGAACAGAGAGAGAGAGAGAGAAACATCGATGTGAAAGGAACACATCGAGTGGCTGCCACCCGCACGACCGACCAGGGCCGGGGACAAACTGCAACCGAGGTACGCACCCTTAGCGGGAACCGAACCCGGGTCTCTCAGGACCGCAGGTCGATGCTCTAACCGCTGAGCCAAACCGGCCAGGGCTGCTTTAACTTTTTCTTGTCTGGGAAACTCTTTATATGACCATCGATTCTAAATGACAGCTTTGCAGAATAGAGTAATCTTGGTTGTAGATTCTTGCTTTTCATCACTCTGAATATTTCTTGCACTCCCTTCCGGCCTGCAAAGTTTCTTTTGAGAATTCAGCTGATGGCCTTATAGGCACTCCCTTGTAGGTAACTAACTGCCTTTCTCTTGCTACTTTTAAGATTCTCTCTTTGTCTTGAACCTTTTGCATTTTGATGATGATGTGTCTTGGTGTGGGCCTCTTGGGGTTCATCTTGTTTGGGACTCTCTGTGCTTCCTGTACTTGTGTGTCTGTTTCCTTCACCAAGTTAGGAAAGTTTTCTGCCATTATTGTTTCAAACAGGTTTTCAATTTCTTGTTCTTTCTCTTCTCCTTCTGGCACCCCCAAGATGCGAATGTTGGCACGCTTGAAGTTGTCCCAGAGGCTCCTTACACTATCCTCATTTTTTTGGATTCTTTTTTCTTTTTGCTGTTCTGATTGGGCATTTTTTGCTTCCTTATATTCCAAATCGATGGTTTGCTTCTTGGATTTACATACTCTACTGCTGAATCTGTGTAGATTATTCTTTTTTTTTTAATCCTCACCCGAGGATATTTTTCCATTTTTTGTACAGATAGAATGGAAGGGAGAGATAGGAAGGGAGAGAAAGTGAGAAACATCGACGTGAAGGGACACATCGAGTGGCTGCCACCCGCACGACCAACCAGGGCCGGGGACAAACTGCAACCGAAGTACGTGCCCTTAGCAGGAACCGAACCCGGGTCTCTCCGGACCGCAGGCCAACGCTCTAACCGCTGAGCCAAACTGGCCAGGGCTGTGTAGATTATTCTTTATTTCAGTTAATACCTCCTTCATTTCTGACTATGCATCCACCATTTCTGACTGGTCCTTTTTTTTATGCTCTTGAGGCCCTCTCTAAGTTCATTGAGCATCCTTATAAGCAGTATTTTGAACTCAGCATCTGTTAGGTTGCTTATCTCCATTTCGCTTAGTTCTTTTCTTGGGGTTTTGTTCTGTTCTTTCATTTGGGACCTGTTTCTTTGTCTCCTCGTTTTGGCTGCCTCCCTGTGTTTGTTTCAGTGTATTACTTAACAAGAGGTGTGGGGCTATCTGAGACCAGATGCTGCTTGTTTGAAGAATTTAGGAAAACCTGAAGCAGGATCCAAGACAGGCCAATCCTATGGTTAAGCAACTGGCAACAGCTTGGGTGGGCCTGAAAGCTGGGTGGGGCGGGGCCTCAGGGAATCACCAGGGCGGGGCTACCAGTGTGAGCCAGGTTGCTGGAGTCCCAGATATGGCGGCTATCTGCCGCCCCAGGGAAGGGCTCACCAAAGGAACAAAGGCCTCTGACAGCATGTTTTTCCCAGAGAAGGGCCCCTCTCCAGCCCTCGCTCCAATGCCAAACAGCTCAGTTCTTTCTTATATGTCTCTAGCGTCCCTCGAGCTGCC